AAAACCCCAAAACCCCAAAACCCCATAAGTATCTAATTAAGCCAATTTAGTGTTGTATATATTTTCGTTTAAAAAAGTGAGTTTAAGGTATAAATTAATTGATTAAATCAAATTAGCTTAAAAAATCAATTTGATAAGTGAAAGTACTTATTTCATCTTATTAATTATATTCTTTGTATTATTCATTTAATCTGGTTTAGCAAATCTCTGTTTACTTCTTTCAGGAAGATTGCTGATATCAGAGTAATTACACAACAGCCCAAGAAGATCAAGATTGGTATTGGATCACTTATTTCAGCAATGATTGGCGCTCCCACTGATAAGCAATGTGACAAAAAGTTAAGAAATCCAAATGTAGTGGACTAGAATTAGGTTGGGAACAGTCTATTATTGCCAATATATACTGAATTGAAGGACATACTAATTCCAAATCTACAGAATATGACTACAAACGGAATGATTTTGTCGTTTGTATAGACAAGCTAGTAGAGACTAGAGCCAATAATTGAAATGATTTGAGCAAGCACTAATGATTTCTTAAGATCAGTCTTCTTCATCAACGTCCCAGAGACTATGTATGCCAGCAAATCTGCTCCAATCATATAGAGAGTATTTTCATATATATTTCCTGGGAAGTATTTCAAATAGAAAGCCAGAATGTAGTAGTTAATCATAAGAGAGCACCAGATAAAATTAGCTAAAATTAGATTAGCTCTTAGTTAACTGTTTTACAGTAACTCTTTTAAATCTGATTTCTTTCTATTTGATTTCAAATTATCTGTGACAGATGTTATCTCATCCTATATAATCAGCATTTTCTACTAAATATCCTCTTCAGCAAAAGATACTTTATCAAATTTTGAGGGATCTTAATTGTTTACTCTTGCAATACGCTTAAACACTTATCTGGCCTTTTCATATTCTCCAACACTAATCAGGAATCTAGGACTCTCAGGCTGACTTAGGAGACTTAAACAACCTATAACTCCAAGTCCTAAACTCGGAATTCCAACATATTACCAAGTCTTCGAAATCAATGAGAAATATATCACAACGAAGAGGTAAACAAACGCTTCAAAAATAAATTCAAAGCTGCTAACATAAGCTTATGTATAATGTGGCTGCATCTCTACAAGATAAGAGAATCCTACGAATTACTTTCCTGTTACTCCAAATCCTATAATAAAAAATAGTGCATACGCCACCATGATATTTGAATTCATCAGAACTCCAACTGTTGTCAAAATTTAGATAGCCATTCCAATTAAAAATATAGGTTTCCTACCGTAGATATCTCCTAGTCTTGTTAGAGTTACTGATCCAAGGACTATTCCTGCTAAGAACAATGAGCCAAAAAGTCCAATTTTGAACTATGAGTCACAGTAAAGGTCAAAATACATGATAAAATTGCTAAGTGACTCTGCGTTAGTCCAGTCAATTTTCCATTACAAGCCTTTGTTCTCACAGAACTCTGCAGCTTTGCAAGACTCCCACTGTACACCCCTAAGACAGACATATCTCGGCTCTAACTCCAAAAACACCAATGAGGATAAGAAAAAGGATGAAGAACTCATAGTTACTATTGTGATTATAGCGTTGAGCCATTAAAACCTCCCAAAACCACCACTAATCTAAAAGGCTTACTCTGCTGTGATACACTTTGAATTCAGATCATCATCCAAATCTAATTAGACTTAATTTACATCAAAATACTTGCCTTTATTGTAAGTATCACTTTGCACATTCTGATTTTTAAGTATTTATTCGCTTTATATCTTATGATCAAAGGTTTTATAATCAGCATAATCATAGAACTGTCGATCATTTGACAATATATCATTATTAATTGAATAGGTGTTTGCACTGGCAAAATTTTCTTAGTTTTAATTAGGATTATTTTTTCGTTCCATTTAAAATATTCAAAATTAATTGTTACAATTCATGTAACTCAGACTTTCTTCTGCACTATCTATTTCTATTATTAATTTACTAAACTGCAATGAAAGGGGTTTTGGGGTTTTGGGGTTTTGGGGTTTTGGGGTTTTGGGGTTTTGGGG